TATATGATATATATTATATATTATATATGATATTTTCTTTTTGAATATATACTATCTAGTATATAGTATATAATACATGATATATAGAAATAAACTATAACATATATATATATAAATATAGATAATAGAATATAACATAATAGATAATCGAATATAACATAATGTATTATAGTATAATATGATATAATATAGTATAGTATAATACAATGTAATACAACACAATGCAATGTGATATGATATAATACAATATAATATATATAGTGCACCACAATACAATACAATACATTACAATACAACATAATGCAATACAATGCAATGTAACACAATACGATGCAATATAGTACAATACAATGTAACAAACATAATATAATAAGATATGATATAATACAACATAATAAAATATAATATAATATAATATAATATAATATAATATAATATAATATAATATAATAATATGAAATATATTATACATAATATATAATATTATATATATATATATGTATATATAATATTATATTATATATATATGCATATAATATCCTGTCTGTCTGTATGTCTGTATGGCTGTATGTCTGTCTGCATGCATGCATGCATGTATATATACACATACACATACACATATACATATACATATACATATACATATACATATACATATATATATATATATGCTCATGAATGTATGTTTGTGTATATATATATATACATAAATATCATATGTGCGCACACAGTTTTCTAAAGAAGAACGAAAGCTCACGTGACATGTGTGCACTGCCCTGGTGCCAGAATTCCCAGAGCAGATGGAACAACTTTACAGGCTTTTGTCCTCTGGTCCCCTGGCCCGGGCCGGAGCCTCCGGCCAGAGCTCTCGCGAACAGCGGTAGATCTCCGCCAGAATCCGCAGGCCTCGCGAGGTCGCCAAATATGAAACCAGTGAGTGACTTCCTCCCTCGGCTTGGGACCGTCTGACCTTCCTGTTTCCCCTTCTTGGTTCAAAACTGATGGTTTCATCGATAACTTTTTACGCACCTCGAGCAAAACTGCCGAATGTATGGAGCCCGAGTGGCAAAAAAACACACCCCATGCTGAAACGGAAGCTTGCTGAGCTCTTGGCGCAGCACTGCCGAGTCCGAACCTACGTCACAGTGGATGGCGTGAGTCATGAGCCGAAAGCCTCAAAAAGCCACAGCTCAGAATTCCGCCTAAGGCTTGCAGGAACGCCGGGCCGTAGTAGATGACGAAGGCCGGTCCGGCCTTGCTGCGGCGCTGAGCCGATAAGCTCACTGCAACGTACGACGTAGGACCTAGGCTCCTTGACCTTCTGCCTCCTTCTCTCGGAATGTGGGTTGCATGTGTCCGGCGTGGATCTTGTCAACATCGCACAATCGGCCGTAGGGAGCCAATCATGCAGTGCAAACTACACAGCAGTTACGCTCCCACCGCCTCCCCGCATGTGGGTTGAAATTTGGGCGCAAGCCGGTTTCGACAGGATCTCCTTCGGCACCAAGGTTGGAGAGAAGGACTGGCCTCGCCCAGTTGAAGCAGTGTGTGCGGTTGACATGAAGAGGGTTCGGTTTTGGATACTGGTCTCTCTGCTGCGGCTGTTTCTCGGACGGAAGCGCCTGCACAGCCCGTTCGTGCCATCTCCACACTCAAGACCTCCTTGTCCTGCAACAGCAGGGTTTAGAAGTTTGCCTGGGCCTGCAGACCAAGTAGCCCCCCGCATTGTGTGAAGTGTACATATTGTGCAAAGCCTGCGGATGCTTTCACATGCCACAAGCCTTGCAAGGTGAGGACTGTAACTACATGTCCCGACTCCCGACATTCCTTCCGGACGTTTCCAAGATGTCCTCCTGTGGCAACTCGAGGTTGAAGGCATCCACCACCGTTCGCCCATTTGCCTCGACACTCCAGCTGACTCTGCGTCCCGCAGACTCTCGCGACTCTTGCTCGCAGCAAGACCAACCGCTCTACCTGCACAAGACCTTTCGGGAATTGCTGAATTGATCATTTGGGGCTGGAGGTTGAGTCTGTGAGCGCTAGTGCACTTCGGCAGTGCCCCTTCGGAAGGAGAACCTACGAGAATCGGTAGTTCTGCCTATGCTAATTGCACAGGGCACATGAAAAGGCTCTCCCACATCAAACAGAAGCACACCCGCCGCCTGTGCCATGCAGAGGAGGCGCATGGCAGCGATAGCATGAGGACCTTTGACTTGCAAAATGTCGGGCAACATTCTGCAATCTACAGCTCATGCAGCGGCAGAAGCGGGAATAACTTCTCAACGAACGCTCTAGATTCACATCGAAAACCGATGGCAGCAGAGCCCTGCTGTGAATGGTTGTCTTAACAGCCCAAATCTATGGACCCGAGGCTTGGAATGCAGAGGCTCGCGTCAAACCCATTGCAGCCCCGCCCGCCTTCTGGAGGCTCTTTCAGGGAGGGCACGTGATCAGTCCACCGGTACTTGAGGTATCTCTCCATGACCTCCAAGTTATGTGCGGCTTGAATCGGCTTGAGGCAACCGCAGAATGTGAGCCGCTTAACGCAGAGCACCTTCGGGCCGCACAGGAGCTGACCACTTTGGTAAATTTTCCTTCGGCCCTTGCGTGCGTGACAGGCGGTCTGCATGCTTTTTCACCAGCCCGACATGGGCAGAATTCCAAAGCAGCCGTGAAAGGACCTCTGTCCTGTCAGGGAGTCTAGCCCTGCCCTCCCTCGTGGTCCGAGGTCCACAGGGTCAAGTTGTCCCTCAACCTTTGCTGATCCCCGCACCGACATGTATTCGTGACTTGTTGGGCCCTTGCATGCAAAACTTCAACACTGTTCTTGTGAGCACAGCTGCAGCTGCATGCTGAGGGTGGTGTCCTTGTGCAACGTTGTCCAGCTTGGCAATGGCATCCTCAAAAGCCGTGCGTGCCACCTTGCAGGCATCGTCTGGATTGCCCAGCACCTTTCACGTAGCCTCCAGAACCCCTGGTCTGCATGGGAAGGCTTACGGAGGGCTTTGCAATACCCTTGTTCCAACGTGTCCTCAGCTTCCTGCCAAGGTTGCCGGGCCTTCTGAGCTTGGTTTCCGATCGCAAGGACTGCAGTTTGCAGTGCTTGAGTGGGGGTAGTAGTCGGCCTTCATTTTCTGGTAGAAGACCTCATCGCTGCTGGCTTTCGCGATCAGCTGGCCGTCTAAAAGCGCGAAGATGGCGTTGCAGATCTTCTGAAGTTCGTCTTCAGTGCCTTGACAACATCGGGAAGCTCATGTCGAAGTCAAAAGCTTGAAGGAATTTCATGTTGAGCCCTCAAGCCTCGCACCAAAGGCCCCGGAGGTGTCATCGCACGGCTGCGATGGTTATGGGCACTGCAAGGAGAAGAGCATGACACCCTACAAGTATCAAGGACTGAGAGGGGCTACTTTCGCGAAGCACTCCATCCAATCACTCTGCACCAACGGAAGGCACGGTCAATGCCATGTGCACTCGGGAAACGTTCTTGCAGTACTCGGCAGCATTGTCGGCGTTGCCTTTGGTTTTGTCGTCTCCTTCCTCATAGCATGAGTGTTCTCGGAAGAAGCCTGCCTTCGCAGGTGCGGAGCAGCTCATCGGTATGTAGTATTCTTAGTAATTATTAGACCTTGCCCACATGAGGCAGCACGACGAGATCCAACGGCGTTCTTGTAAGCCACGGAGAGAAGGTTAAGCTGTTGCGAGTCTGCCAAGAGCAATGTTCCAGATTGTGGTCACAATCTGGAGCATGGCTCTTGGCAGACTCGCAACAGCCAGAAAGCTCAGAAGGGTCGCTGCCCACGTTCTTCATGTGCTCTGCCATCGAGGACAACGCACAATGATGTGTCAATTCTTGGGGCCAGACACTGGCACGCTAATCTTTGAGAAGGGTCCCTATCAGTGGGTACAACCAAGCATTGCTGTTGGGAAGTTCATGGGAAGTTCGATCGTGTGGTATACGAAATGCCGGGGAACTGCTTGCAGCTCTCGACATCCATTCTATCGAGCGCAGTAAAATCTCACTAAGCAAGAAATGCTGGGCAGGTGGCGAAGTAAACGGACTTCTCACGAGGTGCGGCCATCGCTGTGGAAGGACCGAGACAGGTCGGCAAAGCAGTTAAGCAGGGTTCTGTTGCTTCGAGGCTTGAGCAAAGGCAGAAGTTGGAGGCCGGAGTGCCAGGAAGACTACAGTATGACGGGAGGGGCATGTTCTTCCGGCCTGCGTCTCCGTTGAGGACGTGATGCCCTCGATGAGCTTGAAAGATTGCAGAAAGCTGTTCAACACCTTTGCGAGCCGCGGACTTCGGCTTCTGTTCGAGTCTACATGCCTGTTGCATCTGCTCTGCCGAGTGCGGCGACCGCAGGTCTGCAGACCTATTGGGGGCGAGGCGTGCAGAGGGAACTTGATCACAAACTTCTCGCAGCCGCCGAGCGGTGTTGGCTCAGCACCGGCCTGGGAACCGGGGCCGCTTAGAGCAGAGCCGGCGCTGATCGGGCCGGGCGTCCCACCAAGTCGGTAAGCCAATGTACAAAATAAAGAGCCACGTCTCTCGCCCCGGCATGTAACCTTGCAATGCACAGAGAGCAGCATGAAAGGCATCCCTTATATACAAGGCGCTCTCCGCCAAAGCAATGCTGGGCTCCGGGCCGCCGATCCTTGGCGATGGCTTCACGAAACTTCGTGAAGATGGCTCCTGGCGGGGCCTCGCGTTGGCCACGTTCGGTCCAATGCGACACTTTCCATGGCTGCCAGCGAGTCTGAACCGTCTCTGGTCGCGAAAAATGCCCTGCAGTCCGAAAGTCCGAAAACCAGGCGGCCTCTGCCTGCACGAGCCAACCTCAATGCGAAGTTGTGCTGACTGGACTGGGCTTCGTGCGTCCTGAGATCTGAGATGCCGGCCATGGTTGAAGCAAAGATTGCACCTGAAGCGGGCTCGGATCTTCCCGGGGCACTTCTGTACCGCAGAGAATTCTGACTTTTTTGACAGCCCGATGAGTTCTCGGCAGCTCTGAAAATTGGCGGGGCCCCTGCTGTGTGAACTGCACCGACTGACGCTCCGCCGGGTCAAGCTCCTTGAAGGAGGGCAGCAACTCCGTGTAGTGGTCCTTTCGCGATCTGCTGATTCAGAACCACGGCATGGGAAGAGGAACAGCTACCAGGGCTGCAAGCCCATGAGCACCGTCCAGAATATAGCACAAGGCAGTGTCGTGATCACCGATCACGTCACCGGCTGCATAGCCTCGCCCGGTCACACCGCAAGCTTCATGCTCGCTCAGAGCATACTGTACATAGGCATCTGTCGGATCTATCAATCTCCGGCCGTCTGAGTGCCCGTGCCATGATAGCCGTGGTGCTCTTGCTGCACCTTCCGCCACTCCAAGGGTGCACCATACCTTCCCTTTCACATTCCCTTCCGCACCGTCGGCAGCAAGTTCTCCATCTTCATGATGTCATGGATTGCGGTCAAAGCCTTACACATGAGGTTATAGTGCTATTCGACTCTCATTGCCCTCGCAGGAGCAAGGTCTGATGCTGCACGGAACTTCCCTACTGCCAGGATCTTGATGGTAAGGCACCACTCGACCAACACTCACCTCCCTGAGCCCCAGGCCAGCAATGAGACCATACGCGTCTCCTGCACTTTGTAGGCTGTCCTGACAGCACTTGCCACGCATCGAGTCACAGGCTGCGTCAACACTCTCGTGACCATTGCATTCCACCCTCTGCATGTCGTCCATACACAACTCATCCACGACAAAACACCGCTTCCAAGTGTCACGAACCTTGATCCAGCACTCGTCTCCTGCAACAAGCCGGCCTCAAAGCAACCGCATGCTGCGCGGAATGCGGCGAGGTGCTCACATAACTAACACTTCTTACTGCAACAGCATCCCATTAGAGCTCCAGGATGACACAATGTGAGGCTGCTTGAGCAGCGAGCATCGACCATGAGTCGGCGGAAGAAGCCCCACCTGTGGACACAGAGTTTTTCGCACGGTTTCTTGTTCTTTCTTTTTCATTCCACAGATCTGTCGTGCAAATCTTGCCTAAAACTGACCACGGCATGGCACAATGGCAAGTTGACTTGCACATCGGTTTCTCGGGGGCACGCTGGGCATTGTTGAAGAATGCCAGGCGGCGATCAACCTTGTAGAAGCCTCTGCCGGCATAGGAACATGGTTGAAAGTGCTTGTAAGCAAGCTGCACGGAACAGCAAATCCATGCCAGCCATTTCGCAAGATGTGCTGCAAGGACTTGAACCGCAAACGCACGACTGACCCGGCTCCACTTGGCCATGGGCGTTGTTGCAGCTCCGGGGACACGGTCCGTGTTTGGACCGCCACCTCTGCAAACCATAAGCACGGTGGATGCTGTCGACTGCGACACACGCTGCTTTCTCACCAAGATGGAAGTATATATCATGAAGTTTGTGGGGAACATGATCATGGTGTCCGTAATTTTATGCAGCAATCACGTGTTCCGGAAGGCTTCCTGACAGTGTCTGGGTCATGACGAAAACAGCAGAATCGTGCAAGGGCTTGCCGAGCCTGCCCCTCCTGCAGTGCGGATTCCTGCGCCGCCAGGCCAGCCAGCAGGCAATCGAATCACGAAAGTCGGGAACACGAGGTTGTCCGTTGCACTTCGTGCCCACGATGGTTCAGAACAACACCAAGAGCAAAGCGCTCAACCGCACAACCAAGAGTGTGCCTCAACAGCAAATCACAGGCCCGAGAGGGCAGCTCCTTCAGCACATTCCAGTCGCTGTCTGTGCCGAAGCAGAAGCCCTGACGGCCATCGGTGTCCAGGCCTGATCGGCAGAAGGCTGGCGATAACTTTCTTGCTCAAACTGCTGTGATCAACGCGGTCTGTGAGGTGCGGGCGCATGAGCCAGTAGATGGCGAAGAAAGCACAGACGGTGCGCTGATACCTGCGTGACTTAGGGAGTCCAGTCCCGTGGAGTTTCGGGAAACTGAGGGAAAAAGCCATGAAGAGCGCATCGGAGAGACTCAAGCTTTGCATGCTAAGGAACTCGTCGTCTGTCGTTCGACCCGATCCAGTCTCCCCCACCTCATCCAAGCAAACGCCGAATGCTGACTAATGAACGCTAGTTTCCCAGACGTCGGCTCTCCAAAGGTGCGAACTGTCTGCACACAGGTCTGGTGCTCGGCCAATGTAGGGCCCGGTCTCCATCCCGCAGGTATAGGGACAGTTCGGGGAAGGCTGCAAGGTCCTGGCACTGCCCAGAGCAAACCGGGTCCCATCACCGTAGGATGCAAACAACGTCTTCCGACAAAAACCGGAAGCCAGCCGGAAGTCATGCTTTCTCGCGCTGTCCTGAGTGAACTGCGCTAGGGTATAGTCTTTGTCCATTATCCTGTTCGCCATCTTCCTGCAATCTGCACGGTTGCCGATGCTTTTCGATGCAAACGTTGTATGCGACGGACATAACACTTTACCTTGCTTTACCTTACCCCGAAGACCACCTCAGCTGGCAAATACACCTACGCGACCGAAGTCGGCTCTCCTCACCGTCTTCCAGTCGGTTCCTGAAGTTCCAGACTAAAGCCGGATTCTTGCTGCTGGAGCCCTGAGGACCTCTGATCACCTGGAGCACTGCATTAATCACCGGTTAAGATGCTAAGGCCCGTGCTCTTATTTGCTAGGATGCGACGCAGATGGGCATTGGGAGCACCTCTCCTCAAGACGACGAGCTGTCGGTTTCACTGCATCGCTTCTTCGAACAGACTGCTTCTGCTCAGAAAGCTGAACCTTCCATCGTGATTGAGAAACCCTGATTGAATCCTACCAATACTCAAACGGCCCAATCCAAGAACATGCAAGGCTACAGGTCTGAGTGAGTCGGCTTGGTCATGTTGGCTTCTTTGCCAGCGATGCCCTGCGAAAGCTTTCAGATGATGGGGACCCACGCACACCCACGGAACCATCATGGTCGGAAACGTGACATACCAACTTAGGAGCATGCTGGATTCATGGATGCCGTCTTGGATATGGCCGGTGCGACCGGAACACGCTTCAGGAACGTCAGCTCCGCCTCCTGGGCATGTCACGGCAAGAAGGTCGCCGATGGCTGCCAGCACTTTTAAGCTTCGCAGTTCTGACCATGTACCGCACTTGAGCGGCCCCGGTCACACCGAAGCGATTTCCAAGAGCAATATGGAGCTGTCGGGCGAACGAACGCCCCAACAACGCTTGCGTGAAGCTGACAGCTGTACAACGATCAGACTCCACTATTATCCATTGCCATTATTGGTACTGAGATTCAGTGGTCATCTCCGTCATCCTCGTCCACACCAACTCCATTGTCACGAACACTAGGCCCACAAGGCTCATGGCCAGACGTTTCACCAAAAGCAGCACTAACGCAAGTAACTGATTGGTGCCGGGGGGGGGGCCTTTGGCGAAAGAGTTGTTCTCTTCTTCTGCCCCTCTCGAGTTGTTGTCCATTCTGATCCTCACTTTTGAGGGAAGCATGGATTGAGGGACCCAACAAAGAAAAACACTCTAGTTGTTGGAAGCACGGGTTCCAAAATTACAAGAATTTTCTCCGGCCTTAATCAAGCAAGCATTTTTGGCGGTGCCCAATAATGGTACTGGGCAGCTGCAGCCTTTAGCATCGGCAGCCCAAACCCTAAGGCCTGCAGCAGGCCTTAATTGATTGGCTTCCAACCATGCGATTTTTTTTTTCGAGTTTCTGGGGCCAGGCGAGTGGCTGTTCGAAGACTCGGAGGCTTGAAGGCTCAGGTCTTTGGAAGGCTGGATAGGCCTGAACCCAGAAGCCTGGGGTTCCCTTCTCAACCGCTTATGCGGGGAGGCCAAGCCATCGATTCTCCAAGGGGTAGGTAGCCAAGCAGGACTCTCGGAATCCAATAAAAGCGGCACTGCTGTTGGCCAAACACCCTCGGGAGCGCACGAGGCGATTGATGGAGGGAGACTCACCGCCTCGGTGCTTGGAGATAAGGCAGAAAGACGTCTCTCTTGCGCTGCTGAGGCCCCATCAGTCTGAGCGTGGCAGACTGCACAGGCATGAGACAAGCTTCACAGAGGGTGTGAGCACTGCCCATCTTCCCCAACAGGTTGAAGCTACAAGACGCCCTGGCAGCTGTGTAAAACTCAAAGCAGGCCAAGCCTCTGCCCGGCACAAGCCTTGCACGAATGCCGCGTTTAACAGGTACTGGCCACTTCCCACTTCGGCAAAGGATACTTTTGCCTACATTAGATTTGTCGAAAGACCGCAGACATGCTTGGGCCTTGTCAAATTCAGTGCACGGCATCCAGAACCAGACATTGAGCTGAGAACCTTCGGCACAACTCTGTTGAAAGAGACATGGAAGTGGACACCATCCGGACACTTCCATGCACCAGTCCAGTAGTTCAGGAGTGGCATGTGCTGTGCTCCAGGCCGATAGGGATGGGCTCTTTGCAGTGAAACCTGCAGACATGGCGGAGCTGTCACGGAACATGGGAAGCGGAGCTTTGGCCGAAGCCAGGGTAGTGTGTGAGTTCCCGCCGAAGTGGAAACATCAGTCTTATCCGGGCTTTAGAGCTCAAGGCCTCTCCAAGCTGAAGTGGCCGTCTGCTGTAGCGAACTCCTCCCGTCAGCGGACTGTCTTTCTGGCTTAGGCCTAGGCTTAGGCCCTAGGCTCTTTTGTTTTGGCTGTCCTGCCCCAGGGGTAGGCCAATGCCCGCTACCTTGAGGCAGATGCCAATTCTTGGTGCGAGCTTTGCCAGCATCTGCTGGCTCCGGGCCTTGCTGTGGTCTGGATTTACGACTCTGAACGTGACCTGGCAACGAGGGTTTAGGTCATGTCATGCTGGCATGAGACTCAACGGGCCCGCTTATCGTGGCGGAGTGGCCTGGTGCACACCGTACAGAGTATTCAACCCAGGATAGCCCTCGCTCGCGACGTTGTCGTCATTCTGGTAGGTATACCTTCATCGTCTGTCCCAACATGGATTCCTATGCCGTCGCAATGTCGGCTCACACATTCAGCAGGATGCAGCAAGCAGTGCCCTAACGGGCTCTGTAGAAAACCGAAAAAACAGAAACCAGGTGCCGCGGACTGAGTGCGGGACGTATTGGCAACTTCCTTAAGTTGCTGCTGAGCAGTTGTCATGGAAATTCCAAGCCTCTCTTCCAGAACAGACATACAGCAGCTGCGCCAGGACTCCACATACTCGTAGTCCTCATTATATACATTAGCTTCGCAGGACGGCAACAGGGGGCTGTCTGTCGGCAGCTTCCAGGCGAGCCTTCGTAAAGGAAGCTGTTGGCGCTGGATCTGCTGTCCATCGTGCATGAACTGCAGTCGCGACAAGACGACGTGATCCACACCATCGATGTCTGCGACAAGACGCAACTTCAAAAGTCGAGTGACCCGCTTCAGCCTCGTCGTCCCAATTCCAGTCAATATGCTTCCATGCTGGACGAAGAGTTCCCAAAAAAGATGTTCGATCGATTTTGTCCCATGAGAGCCCCAGCTCGTAGTGTCTACCCCGTGGCTTCTTAGAACGTTCTGCAACTCCTCGATGCCAGTCCTGTCCAGGCCACTTGCCTTGGCAAGTACCGGCATCGCCGCCTGCACTCGCAGGACTGGTACACCACGGAGCTTCCCGGTTTGACCTGCTTGACTCGCTCTGCTCGAAGCATCGCTGCTTCCTCTTGTTGATGTGAGGTCATCCTCGATCTCTTTGTCAAGATAAAGGAGGGACAGACTGGAGGAGTGATCTAGGTCGCAGACAACCCTCTGCGATTCCCCCTGGCAGCAGCTTTGTGACATACCCACCCCCATTTTTGGCAGAGGCAGGGCAGGAGGCTATTGACCTACTCCGCACCTGCAAGCCTTGGGGCAATGGGGTTGCCGAAGCTTTACCAAATCTCAAATCCCTGAGCAACTATTCCAGAGAAGGCCCGCTTTCTCTGCTTAGTACAGCTAACTTGGATCATGGCTCGGGCCACTGGGCTGCAACATCCGGTCAGATGCACGGATGTATGTGGTACTCAAACCAGCCTCAATCATCGGCAAACGATGCTCAATGCTCAAACTTCATCGTGCACCAGCGGGCCGGTCTTTCAGAGTGGGCTGGGAGAGTCTTTTCCATGGCAAACCCCACCTGAAAACCCAGGCTTCGGCAACCTGTGTATGGCATCCTGACTTCATTCATCTGCTTTCAAGCTGGGCTGGAGTGTCGTTTTCTCAGCGAGAAGGTCAGGGAAACTGCCACAACTAACTAGAGGGCTCGAGTCGCTTGAGGCTCCCTGGATTGACGGTTCGAAGCCCAAAACCACTGGTTCAAGACGTCGTTTTGGATGACTTCCCACTTGGCCTAGGTATGCCTAGGTACACAAACCCGACTGAAGTCGGTATCACCACTGTACCTCTTTCTCCGCGCAAATGCCCAAAGTAAACTTCTTGCTACCTGACCCGGGCCCAACAAATGCGCCGGAGGCAAGGCTGCACTCAGACCTGACACGGGCGACGGGCCACATCCCAGCCCCGGCCCCTTCGACAATCAGCGGTCCCACATCCGCAGCACAAGCCCGAACTGAAGAAGACCCGAGGTGGTTCAACGCCTTGTGCAGCTTGATGGACAGGAGCTGGGAACCCTCTGAAGGGCCTGCAGAGTCAGCGAAACACGATGAGCCATTGAAGTTCTGCTTACGAGGCCGTCGCCTCTGGGAGAGGCGGTTGGTGACCTTGAAATTGATTGCAACAACGCGCACACACACACACACATGCACACACCTGACCTCACAACGGTGTGGGGTCATGCAACACACTTGCCAATCTTACCAAGCATGCAGCTTCTGCAAAAAGTCTCCATCCAGAAGGTGTCTCATCTTCTTTGCCTCGAAATGGACAAGCATCCTCTCAATTCCCTCAGTGGATTACCAAGATTGCGCAATCCTAGCCCCACCCCCCTTCAGGGGCAGCAGCCCAATCGTGCGCAGACTCTGTCGCATGGTCCTGCTCCAGCACACAGATTAGTTCGTGCTGTTCTCCTGGTGCACGAGTACCGGGGGTCAACGATCAACCAACGTGAATATCACGATCAGGGAAAAAGATGAGTAATCAAAATGAGGACCCTGCTAACACTGCGTCAGTCGCTAATGTAAGTAATGATGCAGAATGATTCATTTCGAGAACTTGTCCGTTGCCCGTAAGGCGATCTCACACCTCCGCGTGCTTTCTTATTGTCCGGTCCCAAAAGTTCAAGGAGTTTCGCCGTCCTACCGGAGCACCTGCTACAAAACAAGCACAGGCCACCCGGCTGCAAATTTATGCGTGTGGGCTCTTAGCTTGAACCCTTCCAGCACAAGCAGCCACAGTATATGCTGAAACGACAGGAATCAGATAGTGGAAACCTACCACGTGCTCCAAGTCGGGTGCTCAACCGTGACATGACTGCTGGCATAATGATGGTCCGCTGAGCCAACAGCCCAATTGGTTGACAGCCCGAGAGCCCGGCGTTGATGCGCCCGAAAATAAGTCCAGGCAGGGCGTTGGGGCAGGGCACTGACTGCTGATGGGGCGCGGCGAACAAAGACACAGGCCGACTCAACACCGGCTCGGCTGGTCCTGACGGTTCTTTGAAGGTTCAGACTCACTGCAACGGTTTTAGGCTCGTACTCAGAATCCAACAGGTGGCGGAGCAACTGGCCGTGGTTACACGGTCAGTCCTTCCCGCTTAAAAGCGTCAAAAATGGTGTGGAGAGAAACTCCACAGGGACGGGGCCGACGACCAAGGGAGATGTTCATCTGGGTTGTAGCCCAGGAACTCCTTACAAAGGCGGATGAACCCTGAAGAAAAAGGAGAGGCAGAGCATGACTGTGGCCTGATAAAATCGGATGGCCGAGGCGCCGCGAGGAAGACTATATACCCCGTTACGGTTTCGTCATCAAGCAGACCCGACCGAAAAGGCCACCGGCTCGTCCAAGTGTGAAACTAGGTCATCTGAGTCAAGCACGGATCACAGGTTTGTTGGCCTCCCTATCTCTGAGTGAAAGTTGAAGAATTCTGTGGCTGCATCTTGTAGCTGCCCGCTTCGAAAGAGATTGCATTGCCTGAGGCGCTTTTCAAATCCTCCACCATCGATGCTGTTGACCATTGCAGTGTTGCCACATGGTGCTTTCTGACGAAGCCTTCTAAGCCAGTGCGCTTGACACTGCTGGGTTCGAGCCTCCTGTTGCATGTGGTTTGAATGCCAGGCAGTCAATAGGCTCAACAACTCATCCAACTGAATTCCATTTGGGACAGCTGGCTCCTGAGCCTTTTGTCTGATGCCGGAGCGGTGAACTAAGAATCCCGTCCTCCGAGGACTGCAGAGACTTTGCAGAGTGGGGATTGTGCCAGTCTGGCCAGTCAACGATGTCCTCGACCCGAGAACACTAGTCTATCCCATGCCAGCGGCACTGAACAGTTGCATCTCTGTCTCTGGCATACTGCTTATGAGTCGAACGAGGGGTTTTGCGAAAGGGGTCAAACTGCACCAGGAACCTTGGACAGCTGCGAGTCGTTGCTTCCTCAGTGTGTTTACATCTTTGCATGCTTGAAGACAGAGGACATAAGCTTCGACCGAGCTTCTGAAGACACTTGTAGCTCGAAGCCTGCACGACCACGGAGTGCCGTTGCTCTTCAGATTCTGCTGTCGACCAAGCGCCCGGCTCACTGTCACTACCCGTCTTAACCGACTGGTCATGCCTTCAAACCAACAAATCGACATTGAACTTTCTCTGCACCACGATCAGCGTTTGTGAAATTCGCAGCTAGGCCGGTTGTGCATCTGACGTGCTGTCAAGCAGGATCTGAGATCTGAACGTGAACTTCTCGAGCCACTCCTTGGAGATTTATTGGAATGGTAGCAAGAGTAGGCAAAAGCCTTCTGCTCTGTGCTGCTACAGTTTCATGCAGGCCAGCATCATTGGAGGAGTCCGAGAAAGGGTCCTTGGCAGTCAAGGTAGACCTCGGTCCAAGCAACAGTGCCTTTGATGTTCCTGTCTGCCCTTCACCTCCACCGGAAGACTGAGCAACCCACGGTGCCGGTGTCTCCACTGGATCAGAAGCAGGCTGTTCATCAGTCCTGGTCTCTCAAGAATGCAAGGATTAGTTTGTGTTCTTCGAAGCTTGCTCCGCGCAGGTTTTCTCAGGCGGCAAATTGTAGGACGTGACGCTACCGGCATCTTCAGCGTCTCCGAGCTGTGGGCCGGACATGTAGCCTGCCGACAGCCCGACAGAAAGTGGCGCCTGGAGAGGAGACAGCTCCTGATCATGGAGACCCCGAAAATGCCAGGAGCAAGCTTTCGCAAACGGTGGTCGTGGTGTTCGTGGTGGTCGTGGTGGTCGTGGTGGTCGTCGTGGTGTTCGTGGTGGTGGCAGTGGTCGCAGTGGTCGTGGTCGTGATGGTCGTGATGGTCGTGGTGGTCGCGGTGGTCGCGGTGGTGGCAGTGGTCGCGGTGGTCCTGGTCATGATGGTCGGGATCGTGGTGGTCGTGGTAGTCGTGGTGGTCGTGGTGGTCGTGGTGGTCGTGGTGGTCGTGGTGGTCGTGGTGGTCGTGGTGGTCGTGGTGGTCGTGGTGGTCGTGGCGGTCGTGGTGGTCGTGGTGGTCGTCGTGGTGGTCGTGCTGGTCGTCGTGGTGGTCGTGGCGGTCGTCGTGGTGGTCGTGGTGGTCGTCGTGGTGGTCGTGGTGGTGGTGGTGGTGGTGGTGGTGGTGGTGGTCGTGGTGGTGGTGGTCGTCGTGGTGGTGGTCGTGGTCGTGGTCGTGGTCGTGGTCGTGGTCGTGGTCGT